CATGCTGAGCATAGATATCACTTAATAAAAAAAATTAAAAACAAACCAAAACAGAACAAAGTACTCACACATGCTACCACATGGAAGACCCCTGAAGTCATTATGCTATGTGAAAGGAGTCAGTCACAAAAGACCATATAACTGTGTGCTACCATGTATATGAAATGTCCAGAATAAGCAAATCCATAGAGACAGAAAGTAGATTAGTGGTTGTCAGAGAATGGGGATGGGGGAAGGGGGAGAGACAGTGACTGCTAAGGGTGTGAGGTTTCTTTTGGGGATGATGAAAATATTCTGGAATTAGATAGTGCTGATGGCTGCACAAGTCTGTGAATATACTACTGAATTGTACACTGAATTGTGCACCTCAAAGAGTGAATTTTATGGTAGGTGATTCACATCTTTTTTTTTTTTTTTTTTAGGTGACTCACATCTTAAAAGTTGTTATAAGTAATATATATTTTTGGGTGCCTACTATGCGCCAAGCACCACGCTAGGCACTGGGATGACAATAATGAGCAAAGCTAGATAGAGCTCTTATTCATATGTAATGTATGTCATATTAAATATTGCACCACACAAAAGATACTGGAAGATCATCTAAGGGAAGGCAATATAGAAGTATAGAAGTATTGAATCAATATGTTGTACACCTGAAACTAATAAAACACTATGTCAATTACACTTCAATAAAATTTTTTTAATTAAAAAAAAAAAGAATTATGAGATGAACACCTCCCATGTAACAACAACCCAGGTCAAGAAATAGAACACTGCCTTCCAGCTATAAAACAAGTAAGTCACTGGGGGCACCTGGGTGGCTCAGTCGGTTAAGCATCCAACTCTTGATTTCAGCTCAGGTCATGATCTCATGGTCTTGAGAATGAGCCCCATGCTGGGCTCTGTGCCGTGTGTGGAGCCTGCTTAAGATTCTCTCTCCCTTTCCCTCAAATAAATAAGTAAGTCATAGGAATATAATGTACAGCATAGGGAATATAGTTAATAATATTGTAATAACTTTGGGGCACCTGGGTGGTTCAGTCAGTTAAGCGTCTGCCTTCAGCTCAGGTCATGATCCTGGGGTCCTGGGATCGAGCTCAGCAGGGAGTCTGCTTCTCCCTATCCCTCTGCCTGCCACTCCCCCTGCTTGTGCTCTCTGTCAAATAAATAAGATCTTTTAAAAAATTTTTTTTAATACATAAACAAAAATTTTAAATTTTTTTAAAAATAAAAAAATCATTTAAAAAATAATGATATTGTAATAACTTTGTAGGGTGCCGATTGGTAGCTAAACTTATCATGGGGATCATTTTGTAATGTATAAAAATATTGAATCACTACAAGGTGATTCAAGGTACACCTGAATAGGATTTTGTATGTCAGTTATATTTCAATTAAAAAAAAAGAAATAGGGGCGCGTGGGTGACTCAGATGGTTAAGCGTCTGCCTTCGGCTCAGGTCATGACCCCAGGTTCCTGGGATCGAGTCCTGCATCGGGCTCCGTGCTCCTTGGGAGCCTGCTTCTCCCTCTGCCTCTCTCTCTCTCATGAATAAATAAATAAAATCTTAAAAAAAAAAAAGAAAGAAATAGAACATTGACAACCCCCAAAGAGTCGTCCATGCTGATTCACAACCCCCTTCCTTTCCCCAGAGGTAACCACAATCCTATTTCTTTTGCTTTTCCTTGTAGTTTTTACTATTTATCTTTGCATCCCTAGATGACATAGATTTGTTTTTCCTAGCTTCGAAATTTTCTAAATGAAATTATACTTTATTTTCTTTTTGTTGTTTATTTTTATGCTGGTCTTCTTGCATGCAACAGTATGTTTAAGACTCATCTATGCTGGGGCGCCTGGGTGGCCCAGATGGTTACGCGTCTGCCTTCGGCTCAGGTCATGATCCCAGGGTCCTGGGATCGAGCCCCACATCAGACTCCTGGCTCAGCAGGGAGCCTGCTTCTCCCTCTCCCTCTGCCTCTCATGCTCTCTCTCTGTCTCTGTATCTCTGTGTCTCAAATGAATAAATAAAATCTTTAAAAAAAAAAAAAAAGGCTCTACGCTGCATATGACTCTAATTTGTTTTCGCTGTTAGGATGTTCTAGTGCGTGAATAGCACACAAGTGGTTTACCCTTCTATCACTGATAAACAGTCAGGTCACTTCCTGCTCGGGATGTGTACAACAATGCTACAATGGCTTCGTGTCTATTTATCCTGGCACACAGCTAGTTCATTGCCATTCTTACCTTTAACTGCACCAGATCATACCAAAGTGTCTTCCAAAGCGGTTCACACTCCCTAAAAGAGTTCGAACCTTCTGCCTTTTTGAAGTACTTTTGAAAAGTCTATTTCATTTGGCTGATGGCTTACAAAAAATCTAAGTGCATTTTCAGGAAAGCCGCTATTGGGCTATTTGAAATGGGGAGGAAGAGAGACACCTGGCTGCCTTAACCAAGGCCAACCTAGATCAGCCACCTGAAAATAAATAAGCTACAGAAATGCTTATTGCTGTATGCCACTCAGAACAGGTTGCTGTTTGTTTTACTACAAAAGCTAAATGAGACAATCCGGGATAGGGAACAGATTTATGATACAGAACTCTTCTTTGGAATGGCACCTAACATCATGAAACTTTCTTATTAATATTTATACTTACGGCCTGCTATGGCCTAAATGCCCTATCCCCCCAAATTCACATGTTGGAACTCCAATGCCCAATGTGATGGTATTAGGAAGTGGGGCCTTTGGGAGGTGATTAGACCATGAGAGTGGGGCCTTCATAAGTGGGATTAGTGTCCTTATAAAAGAGACCCCACCATGTGAGAATACAGTAAGAAGTCTACAACCCAGCTGACCATGCTGACACCCTTATTTTGGACTTTCAGCCTCCAGACTGTGAGAAATAAAATTCTATTGTTTATAATACCAGCCTGTGGTATTTTGTTCCAGCAGCCTGAAGGAACTAAGGCAGAGCCTAACATTTTGAGTAATGAATGAGGTCCGTATTATTTGCAACACAATTTCAATTTCATTCATCAGTGTAAGTGTAGCTATGTATTGTTGCTACATATATATATGAGAAAACATTTGGCCTTCAAAGTCAAAAAATATTTATTATCTTTACAGAAAAGACTTGCCCAATGACAATTTTCCCTCTGGTTCTGGGAGGTGGGGGTCACTTTCCCTGGACAAAAGGGAAGCTCATACATTTGGAGATCTCATATCAAGGAGAAAAGGGCATTGAATTTCAGTAGCAACCAAGAATGTCCACCACAGTCACCCACTCTACCTGCCCATATTATCATGGCCCAGGACATGTGTGAAGACACAGGACAAAGTCAGTATCAAATACAGTGATTATATCATAGGAGAAAATGAAGTAGGTTGGGGAAGGGGCCAGCTTTTCAACCATTCACTAGGGTTGAAAGGACTGACAGTTGGGGGGCCTGGCTGGCTCAGTTAGTAGAGCATGTGACTCTTGATCTCAGGGTCCTGAGTTCAAGCCCCACGCTAGGTGTGGAGGCTACTTAAAAAAAAAAAAGGACAGTTATTATCTTCATAGGTCTTTTGTCATCTTTTAAAGAGGCAAAGACAATACAATTATACTTTATTCAACCATCCATTTATTCATCAAGTATTCATTAAGGACCTATGGGGAATTGTATTCATTTCCTAGGTCTGCTGTAACAAAGTACCAGAAACTGGGAGGCGTTAACATCAGAAATGTATTGTCTCACAGTTCTGGAGGCTAGAAATCTGAAATCAAGGTGTCTGTAGGAGTGGTTCCTTCTGGAAGCTCAGATCTGTTCCATGTTCCTCTTCTAGCTTCTGGTGGTGTTCCTGCCATCTTTTGTATTCCTTGGCTTGTGGCAGCATCTCTCCAATCTTACTTGGCATTCTGCTTGTGTCTGTCTCTGTCCATATTTTCTCTTTGCATAAGGATACCAGCCATATCGTATTAGGACCTACCCTAATGACCTCATCTTAACTTGATCATCTGCACAGACCCTTTTTCCAAATAAAATCACATTCACAGGAACTGGAGATCAGGATTTCGATGTCTTTGGGGGAAACACAATTCAACCCATGACAGGAACATGTTTTGAGGCTTACAAGGCCACAGCATCCTTTTTTTTTGAATTAAGATTTTATCTGAGAGAGAGAGAGAAAGCAAGAGAAAGCAAGAAAGAGTACGAGCCCGGAGGTGGGGGGAGGCAGATGGAGAGGGAGATTCCCCGCTGAGCAGGGAGCCAGATGCGGGGCTAGATCCCAGGACCCTGGGATCATGACCTGAGCCAAAGGCAGACGCTTAACCGACTGAGACACCCAGGCGCCCCAAGGCCACAGCATCCTTATACTCAGCCTTAAAAGAGTGGGAAAAAGCCAAGGAAGGAAAATAGGACGAGGGAAATATAGCAGAGGGGAAGAGAAGAGAAAGGACTACAAAAGAGAGAAAAAGAGAAAAGTTGGAGGAGGGAGGCAGGACCAAGTACATAACTTGTGCGGCCCAGTGCAAAATGACAATGTGGGATTCCTTGCTAAAAAATTAAGAATTTCAAAATGGTGACAGCAGAGCATTAAGCCAAGCACAAGGCCCTTCTTTAGCATGAGGCCTGTGTGACTCCTCTATGGGGAAAATGGTACTAATGGGTGTACTGTGAGTCCATTTAAGGTGTCCTTGTTCAGTTTTTCAGTACTTTTCTGTGTTCCTTGCAAGTCACCTATGAAACAATTCATTCTTTCTACAGCAGGTGCATTCTTGGGTTAAGACCCTTCTAAGATCCAATCTCTCAAGGAGAAAAGAGTTTAGGAAGATGATGGCTATCCAAAAGGGAAAATCTTGGGGATCCTGGGCGGTTCGGTTGGTTGAGCACCCGACACTCGATTTCGGCTCAGGTCATGATCTCGGGATCCTGGGATGGAGTCCCCCCCTCAGATGCTTGCTCAGTGGTGAGTCTGCTTTAGGATTCCCTCCCTCTGGCTGCAGGAGCCATGTGCCCACAGTCTCTCTCAAATAAATAAATAAATATTTAAAACAAACAAACACAAAAGGGAAATTTTTTTCTCCCTAGCCCCACGTAATGTCTGAGTAATTTCCTCAGAATACCCAAGAATCACTTTTCCTTTCAGTTGTTTGGATCCTTGATTAGGATTTGTAACTTGGCATGGAAGTTTCTCTGCTCACCAGCTTACACTTCTTTAGACAGTTTTCCAGCTGCTCCCTGCTTAACCAGGTCACTGTGGTCAAAAAGTCACCTTCTGCCTCGTGCCCTGTATCAAAGCAAGTTCAAGAAAACAAACAGGTTCCTGACCACCAGATTTGGTTCCAAACATCCTCAGCTTGGCATCTAACCTCCTCTCTCCCAGGCTACCCGACTATGTTCATAGAACACCATCTCCTATGTTCTCTGAGGTTACCCTCCCCTTTTCAGTCAAGACAGTCTCCAGAGCCACTTTACACTATCATTCCTAGTCCAAGCCCTTGCCCAGGCTAGTCCTACCCCTGAACCCCACGGTGTGAACTTTTCAAGGGCAGGGGCTGAATTATATTCATCTTTGAATCTCCAGTATCCAGTAAGGTGCACACGTATAAAACACAACGTGCTTTCCACAAATGCCTATGGAATAAAGTTGATGAACTGACACAAGGGACTTCCAAAGCATTTACAATTTTTTAAAAAAGATTTTTTATTTATTTTTATTTGACACAGGACAGAGATAGTGAGAGAGAGAGAGCATAAGCAGGGGGAGCGACAGGCAGGCAGACGGAGCGGGAGAAGCAGGCTTCCCGCTGAGCAGGGATCATGACCTGAGCCGAAGGCAGCCGCTTAACCGACTGAGCCACCCAGGCGCCCCAGCATTTACAATTTTAAAGACACAAAATCACTTACCTCGATGCAGACTTCTTTTCCGCCTCTTACTGAACGTGACTTCCAGACGGTTTCCTGTCTCCTAGGACGAACGTTTCTGTGGGCAAGAACATGTTCCTCTTGAATTTTTTGTCATAATACTTGTTTTCAAACTGGGCACATAGAAGGCATTCAAATCTCCCTGAGTCCTGAAGCCTTCTTTCTAGAAGGTAAAATTCATAGGGAAAAAAAGGAAACTTAGGGGAAATCCTCCCTTTCCCTAAAACCTGCATTTAACATACATGTAAACAGAACAATCTTGTAAAACCTTTTTTAGATGGACAAGTAAGTTCTCTGTGATCACATTCTGGTCTTTACATTTCTAGGTTCACGAATCTGGGACAGCGCCCCAACTCTGCTTTCCATTCAGTTAGCATTTGCCGCGTTTTCTCCCTCCGCCCTTTAGGCTTCGGAATACGACCCGCCCACTTCCGGCAGGGGCATTCACGGCGCAGGCGCAACTCCAGACGCCACTCTACAACCCCTCGTTCTAGTGCTGATGTACGCGCATGTGCAAAAAGGGGCGGGCTGGTTAATAGCGCGGGAGAATGTAGGCCCGCCGAACTCGCGCGACTGTCTCCGCCCACCTAAGTAGGCGGGCGGAGCCGACTGCCCTCTCCAGGTTCAGGCAGCGCACGCGCACTTTAGTACAGGAACGTGGCGAGGGAACGAGGGCAAGCTTTTACGCATGCTCATTTAAATGAGGCCTGAAGCTTTTCACGTCAGCTTCGTCTGCGGCCTCCTTTCCGTCTTAACCCGCCTCTGACGTTTAAAGGGCCAGAACCTTTTTCCACCCAATTGATTTTTTAAAAGTTAAGCATTTATGGAGAGCCTCGTATGTGCGGGGCCCAATTTATATTGTCTTCTGTGTACATTTTCCAGCTTTTCCTTTTGTAGAAATTACGTTAGTATTTATATTTTTCATAAATTTCTTCCCTTGCCCCAAGTGTACTGTTCCCTTGGAGGCAATTCTCTGAAATGAGAGTCAGTGTGAAGTTCTGGGCGGGTCTTCCTAGGTTAAGGGGTCTGAAACTGAATCCTCGCTCGGCCACTTCCTTGGTCTTTTACTCTGGATAGGTTATCTAATTTCTGTGAACCTGAGGTTGCTGACTTTTTAAAATGAGGATAAGGATTCCGACCTATCTCATAGGATTGTTATGAAAAGTACTTGGGCGCCTGGGTGGCTCAGTTGGTTAAGCGACTGCCTTGGGCTCAGGTCATGATCCTGGAGTCCCGGGATCGAGTCCCGCATCGGGCTCCCTGCTCGGCGGGGGGTCTGCTTCTCCCTCTGACCCTCTTCCCTC